TTTTCATCTGTTCTTCTACTGTCCGAGTTGAAAGACTTTCGCTTTCTTTAGGTCGCTTGAAAATAAAGCGTGTTTTTTGTGTATCTCGGAGGGGGTTACAACAGTGGGCCTCCCATAAAACAAATGGCTTTCACACGACATGAACACGACACGAACATGTGTATCAAAGAATAATATTGGCATTTATTGAGAAAGGTAAAATAAAGAAAAAAAGTAAAAAATAACGGGGCAGTTTTTGGCGTGATCTTTCATTATTGTAATAACACAAGACAAACGTTGGAACCGTTAATCATATATAACAGAAAGAACAAGAAGCACAAAATAATTAAAAGACGATAAAAAAGGTATGTATATATAGTGAATTTGGACTTGTGAACTGAAGTACGTAGTGAAAGTGATAGGAAAAAAAGCCAATAGGGGCTTTCCCCAATCCCGAAGAATCTCACCACCAAAACCTACACCCTACAAAAACCCTCAACACAAATATGTAAAAAAATAATATATATGTAATATCTAAAGAAAATATAGTGAACTTCAAACCATTTCACAACAACAAATCACTTTCCCCAATCATATCAACAAACTGCACATTCCCACATTTCACCAAAACCTCGACCAATTCCGAATTCGAAACCCCTGAATGATTTGATCTTGTAGGTGAAACAGAACCATTCGACCTATTACCCGGGTTAGATCCAACAGAGGACGACGAAGAATTAGAAGCATTTGATGAAATTGAACCTCGTTTTCTTCGTTGTTGTTGTTGGTTACTATTCATAGAATTTAATTCAAAGTCGGTTAATACTGCTTGTTGTATCGAAGCAGAAGATGATTGTGGTGGTGGTGACATTCCTCGTGATATTGAACCTATGGATGCCATTGAACTTGTTCGAACCAATCCCCCATGACGAGGCTGTTGGGATGAGGAACCAAGTGACCCTGAAACTCCCACAGATCCAGAACCGTTCCTCGACGGTGCTCGAATTGGTATTGGAATCGGTAATGTAGATGTTGATGCCGATGGTGATGTTGCTGATGTTGGAATTGAAGTTGAAGTATTATTGTTATTCATAGAATTGGTATACATTGGAGATCCAACAAGAGATCCACCAGTAATACTACGTGATCCACTACCACTACCACGACCACCTCTCATCCTCCTGACCCTCACACACCTCCTAACAAAAGGCGCAACAGCTACCAAAGTCTCATCATTCGAATCCACATGCGTAAACGGTTCCAAATGTCTAACGATATGTCGTTTGCCTTCCTCACTTTCGCAAAAGATAACACGTCGATGGTCAAGACCCATGTCGAATAATCCCGATGACGATAGGAGATTTGTGATTTGGGATTCTTCGGCGTCGGAGGAGACTACTGCTATTAGGTGGATTATGTAGCGGGGGGATTGTGAGAGTTGTTGTAGGTAGGGGAGGGCTGATTCGTTGAACGCGTAGTTTGGGTGGGTTGGATCTGGTGATGGGTTCCATAGAATGACCTAGAATATTGTTATTTGGAGGTGTTTAATGATTATGATCATGGTTAGTATCTATAGTACTGTCCTTCAAATAGCTGAGTGGCTTTATCCAAAATGTAATGTAATGTGATTGGAAGACAGAGTCCCGCCACAGTAAAAGAGAGAAATGTGATCGACGATCGTTTGAATATCAACAAAAAGATTTTTTTTTTTTGGTGGTAATCGAACAAAGCCTGGGGCGGGCTTCACAGCTCTTTTTTTTTCATGTGCGACTACTGCCAAACAAGATCAAAAGCCAGATCATTTTGACAAGTCAAAACCATATGACATCATTTTTGCAATTGGCTCGTGAAAACCACATGACCCCCCCAATCGAATATTACCAACAACCCATTCTTCCTTCTGCATCATGGAATGACCCACCGACATCCTTATTCCTTACAGCACCCAACAAAAACGCGTTGCCCGTGTTTTTCGCGTTTTATTCAGAAAGACGGGGTTGAACAATATTCCCAAAGTTGAAGGAGAATAGAAGGGGACAAGAACCAAAAACCAAAGAGAATGCAGTTCGAAAAACAAAGTAAAGATCTCAGCCTATTTAGGCTTCCTTAATCCTCTTTCCATTGATTCCTCCAGATGTAGAAAGAACAAGTAAAGAAAACAAGAAGAAAAAACAAAAGAAAAACTCACATTCTGTACCGAAATAGTCATCACAAGTCCTCTCGCCCCTCTAGGAATCCCACTGGAGCCTACACCATTCCCAATACTACCCGATTTAACAGGAGACCTCGACAATGGAGATCTCACATATCCACTATCATTCCCATTCCCGGCCACTACAGTTTGATTTTGATTTCGACTTCGACCAGTTCGATCTGATGTTGATGTTGATGTTGACTGTTGTTGTTGTCGTCTTCTATCTCGTTCACCACTCAACCTTCGGCTTGTTGATATCGATAATTGATTCGAGTCTTGATCTTGTTGATTTGATCTTTTATTAAATGTCCAATTTAGTAATGATGATAGTGTTGACTGTGTTGATTCTGTTGATGGATCTATTATTGTCGAGTCTTGATTGTTATTGTTACTGGATAACCATCGATATGATATATATGCAGTTGCTGAGATGATTGCGGTTGTTGCTGCTGCTGTTATGAGAATGTTGGATGTTGATGATGTTGTTGTTTTTGATAGTGTTGATGTCGTTTTGGATAATAGTGATGCACCGTGTGATGTTATCCAGTTTGTCAGACTGGCGGTTGCATCTGCTGTTGGTGTTCGTCTTCGTTGACGAATCATTGCAGGTGGTTATTGGTTATTTCGGTTTGTTGTTTTTTTGTTCAGATGGATGAGGTTTTTAATGGTTTTTGTTGATTGTTGTGAGGAGCCAATGGGTATTTTTAAGGAAAGTTTTTCCAGCAACAAGTTTGAAAAAACACAGGAAACTGATAACGAAGGTTTTTGGCTACTTTGGCAGAGAGTGTGATGCTTTGATCGTGTGTGTTTTGAGGTGGGTTATTCGTAAGAATGACAGAATGAATATATTGCTGAATGTCGGGGATCCAAGCGTATGGGATTGATAGATGACGTCGGTACCCAGGAGTTTGGCGGCGGCAATTTAACGACTGGCAATGAAAACAGAATGGAAGATTGAAATTGGAGAAGTTACGTTCCCGCCGGGAAATTTCTGAACCAGGTTTTTTTAATCAAAGAATTTCTGCCGTTTTTCTTTCAGATTTGTGTGCTAAATTGAGATTTCTCAGTTTCTCAGGTCAGTCATTTCGACACCCAACATTAAATCATAAAATCATAACAAGAGTGATCAAGTGTGAATTGAACGTCTCAATATCTTTAACATTGAGGTCTTTTTTTCAAAAGAAGCTACCTACAATGACAGAATAGAATAAAACGCGTCGTCGTTGTTTTATTTCTTTTCTTTCTTTTTTTTTTCTTTCCGTTAATCACCTTTTTTCAGGCGCGTGCCCAGTAGTCTATAACTACTTCTCTTTTTTTCTTCTCACATGCAAACCCATCCAAAACATACAAATGGCGCGGCCCCCTTCTGTTCAAGCAGAGTATGAAAAATGACTCCAAAATCTCGAGTGAGCCATGTGATGGGTGCTGTGCTCTCTTTCACTTATAAAAAAAGCACGTGGATTTGTGTGACTACGAAAAAGAATATATTTAAAAATCATAAACAAAACAAAGAAAAATTTTTTGTTGGAACGGAACTAACATATATATATTGATTGAATGGTCCAGAAAGCAACCGTCAGCTATCAGGTCGCTCTTTCGTCTCAGACGGAACTCGAAAAACAAAAAGAGGGGCGGGTGTTGCTTGTATGTATGCAACTTGTTTACCAAATAAGCACGTGAAGAGAATTCTTTCTTCAAACTTGACGCGTGAAAAATGAACTACGCGCAAACCGAGAATCACGCGTGAGGACTAATTGAAAAAATAACACATCACAAAAAAACAATATCAGTTTATTCCACTTCGGCACAAGAATGGCAGAAAAGAGTTTTTCCACTTTAACACAAGAACGGCAGTACTGCATACACGAGAAGTCAAACGACAAACTCCTTTTTATGTTTTATTTATTAATATTTGTGTATTTTTTATTTGTTTGTCAAGTGCCCCTGCGTCCATAAAGTTAGATACTCAAAACAGTTGAGTTTACTTTTGCATATAGAACAGACTTATAGAATGATTGGAAAAATCATTTATTGAAGTTAATTTCCAGAAAAAGAAAAAGAAAAAGGGTTACCTGTGAAGCTAATGACTTTATTTTCTAAAACGCGAACAGAAAAAATGATACACTGTTAGAACAACCCACATCAATATTATAAACGACTCGATTTTTTTCTTTCTTTTCAACTCAGAAAGCGAATGGGAGCGTTTTTCATTCTATCGAGGTTTCTTTGGTCCCGGTATGTTATTATCCCGGTGTTATTTTATGATTACAAACATAGGCTAGGTTGATGCACAAAACATTGCAGACTTTGAGTAACACGCGGAGAACAAAAAAAGCGAAAAAGAAAGGAAAAAGAAAGAAAGATTAAAGAACGAAATGCGGAAAGATGAAACCTGGTGGCTATCTTAACGGAACAATAAAAGGAAACCTCCAAAAAGCTTCGTGTTATCCAAGAATTGGTTGAAAAAAAAGAAAGGAAAACGTAAAGAGAAAAGAGAGCGTATCTTCACTGAGCAAGATTGGAAAGTAAGATCTGTTCAACGAGGCGTCAGCAAAAACGCCAGCAGGGAAAACCAGAGTAATAAGAAAATAACAAAAATCCATTCATAACTTGCTGTGAATGAGTTGCAGTTAGGGACACTATTAATGTTGCTTAAGCTCCTCGTGATGGCGTGCGTGTTTTGCGATTTGTTGAGGTATGAATGATATTGCTATCTAATCATCATT